TGATCCGCTGACCATGATTCCCTTTTTTTTTCCCCCTTTTTTGAGACTGAGTCTTACTCTCGCCCAGGCTGGAGTGCAGTGGCACGATCTCGGTTCACTGCAACCTCCATCTCCCGGGTTTGCGCGAGCAATTCTCCTGCCTCAGCCTCCCGAGTAGCTGGGACTACAGGCGCCCACCACCACGCGCAGCTAATTTTTGCATTTTTAGTAGACACGGGGTTTCACCATGTTGGCCAGGCTGGTCTCAAACCCCTGACCTCAACTGATCCACCCGCCTCGGCCTCCCAAAGTGCTGGGATTACAGGCGTGAGTCACCGTACCCAGCCAATTCCCTTCTTAAAACCGTCTTCTCCTCATAAAGGTTTTCCTCTATTGCTGGGGAACCACTGTCAGTCCTCTCCGCGCCAGCTGCTCGTTACATGAGTGTAGACTCGGGGGATCTGAAAAGGCTTTCCAGTTGACTCTTTTACTTTGATATACCCAAGACAGGCAAAATCAATTGTATATGGTAAGATTTACTTATCATTCACATTTCTGGCAATAAGCTGAGAATTGGGAGGCAAATGAAAAACCACTTCTCCACAGCCAAAATAGATGTCAAAGTCCATCCACTAAAGCAGGTGGCATTATTTCAGGTTTACCTTTGAAAGACCATAGACTTTGGAGTCAGAAAGTCCTGGAACGGAATGCCAATTTCACCACTACTACCTGTGTAAACTTGGGGAGATTTATTCAAGCGCTTGAAGCCTCCATTCTCTTGGCTGTACAGTAGGGATAACAGTACCTAGGTCGTAAAAGTGTTACAGGGAATAGCCAGGTCCTGCATGTAAGGTGCCTAATGCTTTCTGTGGTACATAATCGTTAAACAATAGAGAGGCCGTTAGTATTCTACTACACCAGGCTTTGTAGGTCCTTTCAATGTTCATGTCCCCAGGGTGTCACTTGGCTTCCCTTACAACTCTCCAATTTTATTCAGGACTGTGGCTAGTTTTTACTTCGGGTACTTCTACAACCACTCGTTGACTAATCTGGAATTTTTATACTTAGCCTTTTTCTCTTTCTGCAGCTCCAGGCAGGCTTCTGAAAAAAAGGACAGGAGTCCTCTGGGAATCGCCGTGGAAGCAGCACCAAGGCAGAGAGAGAGGCTTTGGGGGCAAGGCCATGTGTGTCCACTAGAGAGACTAGTGCCAGCCCAGGCCAGCCAGGAAGACCAGGGAAGGAAGCTGATCCTAGCCCAGATGCCACACCCCTGTTGACTGCATAAAACTCCCGGACAGGAAGGTAAGTAGCGTGCCACCTGACTCCGCTGCTCAGGGCCAGGGACTGTCTTGCGCGTCTGTACATTTCCGGTGGCTGGCCCAGTGCTGGGCACATAGTAGGCACACAGGTTTGCTGAAGAGCACTAAAGTCATTGTCGAAATGCAGCAGGGCTTTAGAACACATATAGTATCGCAATCACCGACTCTTGTGTCATAATCCAATTTTGTGTAATTTTGGAGAAGTTACTAAATTTTTCCAAGCCTGTTTTCTCATATCCAAAACAGGAATAATGTTAGCATCTGGCCCATAATGTTGCTGTGCGATAATGTTGGACATAACACACATAAAGAATTTAACATGGCCAGGTGCGGTGGCTCACGTCTGTAATCCCAGCACTTTGGGAGGCCGAGGTGGGCGAATCACCTGAGGCTGGGAGTTCGAGACCAGCCTGACCAACATGGAGAAACTCTGTCTCTACTAAAAATACAAAATTAGCTGGGTGTGGTGGCACATGCCTGTAATCCCAGCTACTCAGGAGGCTGAGGAGGTTGCGGTGAGCTGAGATCGTGCCATTGCACTACAGCCTGGGCAACAAGAATGAAACTCTGTCTCAAATAATAATAATAATAATTTAGCACATAGTTGCTCAATCATATGTTCAGTCAGTTAGTTATTGCAATTATTATCGGTGGGTGAGATTTCCCAAGGCTGGAGTAATTAATGGGAACCCTCTAGAGGGAAACAAAGGAAGCCAGGGCATAGCTGGTAGAAAACAGCAAAAAAGGAATGCAATTTTTTGTTGTTGTTTTGAGACAAGATCTTGCTCTGTTCCTCTGGCATGAGTGTAGTGGTGTAATCATAACTCACTGCAGCTTTGAACTCCCAGGCTCGAACAATCCTCCTACCTCAGCCTCCCGAGTAGCTGGAACTACCAGCACCCACCAGACACCCAGCTAATTTTTAAAATTTTTTGTAGAGATGGAGTTCCGCTATGTTAGCCAGGCTGGTCTCAAACTCCTAGCCTTAAGTGATCCTCCTGCCTCAGCTTCCCTAAGTGTTGGGATTACAGGCATGGGCCATATACTGGCCAAAATTGCCATTTTTAAGAGAGATTCAGAACAAGGAAGAACGGGTTCACTTTTAAGGGAAGATGGTAGAATGTCAAGCAAGAGCGAAGCCAGAATTACTCAATTCTCAATAAAAATCTGTCCTACGTAAGAATGATCTTCATATTACAACAAATGAAAATAAGCATTGTTTGAAAAGGAAATAGAAGCTCAATAACACAGAAGGAGGAGAGCCCGTGAGCATCTCACTACATTGATTTTGTCTCCAAGCTCATCAATGACATCAGAGGAGACAGTCAAATAATTTGCAGATGTGATCAGCATGTGTAATCTGCAGGACTCAGAGTAAAAGCTTTCCCAGTCTTCAAAGGGGTGTGTGTACTGGAAGGAGAGTAAGGAGCGGATTCTGGGAATTGCAAACCACTGGGCCAAATGTCAATCCCCAGTGAAACAGATGCTCTGTGACCATTTAGAAAAGAAACACTTGATGACTAGGAGCCAGTTTGGGTTCACTGGAAACAAGGCAGGTCGAACACATTTGTCTTCCTTTTTAAAGGGGTTTTATCAACTGGTGGAACAGTAGATTTAATTTGCTAAGGCATTGCATCTTACGTATTCAGCATTTATGAAACACTTCCTGGGCCAAGGATAGAAAGATGACCAAGGTATGGTCTCAGAAGGAGCGCACATCCTGGTCAACTGGTGGTCACCTGTGGCTGGATAGTCATGACTTTAAGTGGCATCATAACGGATGTCATAACTCTTCTCAAAGCCTAGATTAACAGATTAATGTCAATTTGGAGGGAAATCTTGGTTCTTCTTTGGTTTGTGTGCCGTTCTATGTTTTGATCAAAGGCCAGGATGCAGACTTAGAAGACATGCTTATCAAAGGAGCTCATGGCAGAGGTAAGAGGAGGACTACCTGATGGATAGTGACATTCTGATTCAAAATGATCTCGAGATGTCGAACTGAACAATGCAACCAATAATAGAATCGAAACCAGCTCAACGCTGCACTATGACATTAAGAACCGTGCCCCAATCAAGGAAAAGAAAGTCTTGTAGCTCATTCTTGGGAGCAATAAAAATATGAAGGACACAGAAGGTTTGGGGTTGGTGCAGAGGTCCAGACTCTGTGAAAAGACCGTGAATGGCTCTAAGGAGGGATAGGAGTAATCTCCCCACGTTACGAGGACTGACATGGGAAAGAGGGAGTGAATTATCCTAAATTGCTCTTGAGGAAAGTACTGGAGCAAGTAAGGAGTTTAAGGGAGAAGAAGAGATGTTGTAACATTAAGACCTGGCTACAGGCCAGGTGTGGTGGCTCATGCCTGTAATTCCAACATTTTGGAAGCCTGAGCCAGGAGGATCACTTAAGGTCAGGAGTTCGAGACCAGCCTGCACAACATGGCGAAACCCTGTCTCAACCAAAAATAGAAAAAAAATTGGCTGGGCATGGTGGCACACATCTGCAGTCCCAGCGACCTGAGAGGCTGAGGTGGGAGGATCGCTTGAGCCTGGGAGGCAGAGGTTGCAGTGAGCTGAGATCGCGCCACTGCACTCCAGCTTGGGTGACAGAGTAAGATTCCATCCCAAGAAAAAATAAAAAAAGAGCTGGCTAGAGAACAGAATGAATTATTCTGAAAAGTAGTGAGCCTCTCATCACCTTAGGTATGCAAACAGGGATAATCAACCATGCAGTGGGAAACCTGACCGGACAGGCTTGGGGGCCCTCCCCACACTCGGTGTCCACCCTGCTTGCCACCAATTAGTAATGAGTAGGGAAGGTTCCCTGAAGGAGGTCACATCCGAGCTAGACTGTGAAGATGGAGACAGCTCTGACCCGATCCCGTAGGGTGCCCGAAGCCAGCCCCACGTGGCAGTAAGTATGAGAACTGGGCACTTCCCCACAAGGTAAGACAGAAGGTGGAGCTGAGCTTTCTCTATGGATCAGAACTGATATAGCTGGTGACAGGTAGAGGAAGGAGAAATAGAGTGCCAGTGGAGAGCCAGGAACAAAAAATCAGGCCCACAGAGCAAAGACCGGAGGGTCCTGGCCTGAGCAAGAGGAAGGGTGGATGGGAAGGAGAGACCCACCAGGCAGCATCCTGCTGGAGACACTTCTATCATTCCTTAATCGTTTCCAGGACCAGAGCCTGTCAGAATTGGGAAGAGCCCTTCAGGAGCCCCTGGCCCAAGCCCTGATGAGATGGATGAGAGTTGAGGGTCAGGCTGAGCAGCTCATCCAAGGGAACCCAGACCTGAGAAGGGCTCCAATCCCACCTCAGTCCTTGTCAGCTGTGTGACCTTGGGCAAGTTACTTAACCACCCTGTGCCTCAGTTTCCTCATCTGTAAAATAAAGGTGGAGGTAGCCATAAAAGAGGTGATGTAGGAAAAGCACCCAAGAAGAACTAGATAATCAAAATAGACCTACATAGTAAGTGCTATCTGCAAATTAACACTAATTTACAATTATTGGGAGATGCCGGGGAAGGCGGTGAATGCCAGGAGCCCCTTCCCACAGCAGTGCCTCATCAGCGCTGTGGACTCAATGCATTTACGGTAACCAGGTAGGTCGCTGGTACCCATATTGATCCCCACCGTGGGGGAAGTCCCTGAGGTATGGGGACCCGCAGGGGAGGGGAAGGCTCAGAGGCCGAGCCCACACGTACCTTCTCCCCGGGTGTGACGGAGATGCGCCACACGCAGTGCATGTGAGCAGAGTAGCCGTTGGGGTATTCAGGGGAGGAGAAGTTGCCCGTGCTGTCTTGCAGGGTCTCTCCGCAGGCTGTGAGGAAAGGAAATGACAGGGCAGGGCTGCAGGCGCCAAATCCCCCCACCTTCTGGCTCACCCACCCCTGAGCCCTGGCATCCTCTGAGGGAGGGGAGAATGCCCGAGGAGTGGGAGGGTGTCTGGAGCAGTTCTGTCCCTGTAAGATCCACCCCCTCCGCCTCACATACAGCACACACCATCCTACCTCCCAGCCCAGTGCTGCCCTGTTTGTGAAGGCAATATGGGTTCCAGAGTTAAGGTCAAGCTCCCTTGGTGGGGCTCCGTGCCACCACCTCCCTCTCCTAGGATTGCCCTGTTCTTCCCCACTTCTGCCCCTACAGACCCTCAGAAGGTGGCAGCTCAGCTTCTGACCACCACCTGAGCCTACCCCCAGCGGCCTCCTTCACTTGGACACTGCTCCTCCTATGGGGTCCCCTCCCCCGCCACACCATTCTCTAAAACTTGCAGCCTAAGCCTTCTTGGTGGCACCAGGCACCTGGCCTCTGCCTCCCTCAGGCCCTGCCCTCCACACCTTCACCCATCCCTTCTCTGCCCTGACCTGGGCACTTGTAAAGCTTGCGGGCTTGGGCAATGTCCCCCTTGCTGAGCCGTGTCCTTTGGCCAATGGGAGGTTTCACCCCGTTCACCTCATACTTGGGGACAATGGTATCCAGGAAGATGCCCCTGAAGAAGAGGGAGAGAAGGAAGGGTGAGCGTCTTATGGACAGTGGGCAGGGAGTGAGTGGCATGCCCATCCGTACCCACAAGTCGCGACCCTGCTGGAGCTCAGACATTCCTCAGCAGGGTCAGGGCCGGGTAGAGACGTCTCACCCTGTCATTACACTGCCCACTGACCAGCAGCCACCCTGCTCCGTGGCAGCCACACCACAGGAGTCGGGGGAGCCCCAGGAACACTTTGGGAGGTCAGGGATGCAGGTCCAGGGTGCCCTGAGACCCACTGGTGCCCCCAGTTCAGGCTGGCCACAACTCCCAGCCCCAGGAAAGCTACAGGCCCCTAGCGGGTCATCTTTCCAACCCCACTGGGCCCCTGCTTCTGCAGCCCCTCATGCTGCTCCAGCCCTAACTAAACTTCCCCCAGGACTCCCTAGGCCAGCTACTCACCCTGCTGGCACAGGCTGCATCTGAATGCACCTGGAACAAGGCCAAAGGCAGGTTCCACTGCAGCCAGACCAAGCCCCGGGGACAGCCCCACCAGCTCCCCATCTATCAGTGTCTCCTGTACCCCCCATTCCTCCCTTCTGAAGCCTGGGTGTTTGCACTGGGAGGAGCAGAGTGAAGGGAAGGCAGGCAGCCCTCCACCTCCCCAGGGCCCCTGACTCACACCCAGCTGGGTGGATCACAGCAGGGGGTGCGGTGGGATGCGGTGGGAAATGTAAGGCCGGGTCTGTGGGTGTGGGGGGGCAGAATGACCTCACCACCCCTCCTTGGTCTCTGTTCCTGCAGGTCTGCAGGCCGGAAAAGTGGATCGGGTGGAAGCACTGAGAAGAGGGGGCAGGGCCACTGTCTGGGACACAGACAGAGGATGAGCAAAGCACCAGGCCTGGGAATGGCCAGGCCAGGAAGGAGTGTGAGGAGGAGGGAGGCGCCATTTCCCACACTCTGCTAAGGAGAAGCTTGGGGGAGGGGAGGCTGGGCCACCACCTTTGAGGGTTCTGGTTGTGGCTTCTGGGGACCTGGGCATCGGATAAGGAGGATGTGCTTTGGAGTTGGGCACGAGGGCTAGTCCAGGGCAGGGGCCTGGCTTCATGCAAACTGGCCAATTACAAAAAAAAAAAAAAAAAAGCAGACTAATTAAAAAGGAATGGCTGGGCATGGTGGCTCATGCCTGTAATCTCAGCATTTTGGGAAGCCGAGGTGGGAGGATTGCTTGAGCCCAGGAGTTTGAGATCAGCCTGGACAATATAGTGAGACCCCATCTCTAAAAAAAAGTCATGGTGGCGTGCACCTGTCATCCTAGCTACTTAGGAGGCTGAGACAGGACAATTGCTTGAGCCTAGGAGTTTGAGGCTGCAGTGAGCTGTGACTGTGCCACTGTACTCCAGCCTAGGTGACAGAGCAAGACCCTGTCTCAAACAAAAACAAAAACAAAAACAAACAAATGACCCACAAATAAAAGCTCAGCACCCTTTGGGCTGATAGTTTGGGGCTACCGCACACTGCTTGGCTTGCACAGTGGTTGGGTTCAGCCTCCTCCACCAGGTGCCCTGGGTGCACACAGTGGTAAGGCCCTGCCACAGCCCCACCCATGGAAGAGGACAGGAGGGCAGGCAGCATCCGTGAACCCTCTGCTTGGAGGCCACAGTCCCCCGGAGGACCACTCTTTTCCTGGGTCACTGCCCCAGAAGTGGGAGGCAGAAGGAGAATGGCCTACAGAGGGCAGGGTGGGGCTGCCCCAGCAGTGGCCTAGCCCTGACCCCATCTCCTACCTGGAGAACGTGTTCCGAGCATAATGCATGATGCTGTCAAAGTCATAGGTCTCCCCCAGGGACTCCACCTCCTGAGGCTCCATCTTCAGGAAGTTATACTCCTGCCCTGAGAAGATCAGGAAAAGGGTGTGTGGGGAGGGAGGGAGTGGGTCTGCCTGGGATGCAACGCTCCCTTTCCAGGGCAGGAATGGGGTCCTTCCTGTATCTGAGAGGGCCCCCCTACCTGAGGGTCTGGGGAGCAGCCAAGGGGAGCCTGGGGAGTGGGGAGGGTCTCAGGAAGAGTCCTATCCAGCAGAGGGCCTGGTGAATGGAGGACTCAAGGGAACATGGAAAGAAAGCACCCATTTCTAGAGCCGAAGCTGAGAAGGAAGCAGTGAAGAGTGGAGAACGCCTGGGAGAGAGGGAGGAGGTGGGAAGGGAGGGACAGAGATATCGAGAAAATGAGAGAAAAGCCCTCAGAGGGCAGACCAGGCAGAGGACAGAAAGTGGGCAGAGGTGGGGAGAAAGGCCTGAGCAGTCCCCAGGGTGGGCCCACTACGCCCATGCCCCACCCTAGAGGCTGCCCGGGCTACCGCTGTCCAGGACCAGGACCTGGCCCAGCCCCGCAGAGGAGCTCCGCAACGGATGCAGGTCCTTGATCTGCCATGGAGGAGGAAATGCCTCAAAGGTAAGGGCCGGCTCAACCCAGGCTAAGGGTAGCGCTGAGGGCCCAGGCGATGACGGCTGGCAGGAGCGGCTCCCACTGCCCCCAGGGTCCCTAGAGGTGGGGGTTGGGGCAGGAGCCGCCCACCAAGGCCGCACCGAGGGGCAGGTACCTACCTGGCTGGATGTTCTCACGAACGATGGAAACGTGGCGGTCCCGGTCTGGCCGAGTGTGTTCGTGCCAGAAGCCGACGACGTGGCCCAGCTCGTGGACCACGATGCCGAACTTGTCACAGTTCTTGCCGATGGAGATGGCCTGGGGGCCCCCGCCGCGGCGACCCACGTAGGAGCAGCACCTGGAGGGCGGGGCCAGCTCAGGGGGGCGGTCCCGAGCTGGGGGAGTGCATCCACTCAGGGGCGGGGCCAGGCTGCCGTGGGGTGGGGGGGAGGGGAGCGGAGGGGAGGAGGGGCCTGAGCGCCGAGTGCCCAGGCTGTGTGCTGGAGGTCACAGCCACACAAGGGGCAGTTCCTGGGGAGATGCCCCATAGCAGGAGGGGACGAAGGGACCCAGGGCTGTGCCCAGCTGGGGGCAGTGGCGGTGCCCAGGGGAGAACCTGGGTTGGGGCAACGGCGGAAGGTGTAGTTCCTAGGGCTTCCTGCTCACCCGCAAGGTCGATAGGTGAACACAATATAGCTGTCCTCGTCCGTGCGCTCCAGAAAGGTGACACAGGTATGCTTCTCCCAGTGCCTCATGGCCTGCCGGAAGACTGCCCTCTGGCTACCTGCCAGGAGGAAGGAAGACAGATTGCCATGGTGTCCAGGCGGTCCCATCCCCTACCCACCCCCTACCCACCATAGAAGAGTCACAGCCATTCTGAGAGCAGACTGCCCAGAAAGGAAAGTGCGGGCACTCGGGCTGCAGATGGCACCCACGCCTCCGTGCCTGGCAGGGCTGCCCCAAGTCCAGGCCCAAAAGCTGGCTGCACCCTGGGCCCCACAATAGCACGCTCACCAGTGAAGTTTCCCCCAATGACAAAGGGGATGACCCCATCGGGCCACACACGCTCTGGTCGGGAGGTTGCTGCCCGCCGGCTCCGGGATCTGCCTCTCCATCTCCCACAGGCTCCCCTCTGAGGCTGCCCGTTGGTGCTCTGGCAGCTGGGGGTAGAAGTGTTTCCTGGAACTGAAAGAGGAAGGCATGGTGGCTAGTGAGTGGAGAGGAAGACGAGGAAAACAAAAGCATAGTCAAACCTAATTTTTCATGGATTCTACGCTTGCAAATTTGCCTACTGGCTAAAATTTATTCGCAGCCCCCAAAATCAATACTTTCAGGGCTTTCATGGTCATTTGTGGACATTTGCAGAGCAGTGAAAAATTTCAGTCACCCAACATGCATGTTCCTAGCTGAGGTCGAACAATTCAATGCTCTGCCTTCTGCTTTCGGCTCCCATCGTGTAAACAAGGGTCCTTTTTGAGGTCTAGTTAAAGTGCCCTGTTTTTTGCGTTTTTGTGCGCTTTGTTGAGGGTTTTGCTGTTTAAAACAGCCCCTGAGCATAATGCTGAAGGGCTCTCTGGGGTTCCCAAGGGCAAGAAGGCTGTGATGTGCCTTACAGAGAACATATATGTGCTAGGTAAGCTTCTTTGAGGCATGAGTTAGAGTGCTATTGGTGGTGAGTTCGATGTTAATGAATTAGCTCCATATTAATCAAGGTGTCTTTATAAAGAAACACTCATAAAACAAGGTGATGCATTGATCAGTTGACAAAAATGTTGTGACCAGAGGCTTGAAGGAACCTGACCCTGTGTTTTCCCTAGGAGCAATGGGTCAGTATTTGCTAGTGTTTTCAGTGACTGTACAGAGTAACTATAAAGTTATTCTGTAACTTCCACAAACAGTGAGAATTGACAATAATCATAAAAGAGAACAAAGGTGCACTCATTTTCTAGGAATTGTGGGGATCTGAGATTAGGAAAATATCCCTTCTCATTGAATAAACCTTGACGTTTGTGGAACATTCAGAACTCTATGCTTTCTTTTGGTTTCCCAAATTCATGTTTGCATTTGACATAGGAGCTCTAAGGCATGTGGACAAGTGTCATATTGTATTTGGCACATGAGGAAACTAAAGCCAAAGCTTTGCCCAAAGTCACCTGGTAGTTTAGCAGGGGACCCCTCCATGCAGCTTTCCCTTGTGCCATACCTACTAGTCCCCACTAAGGTCACATGAGCCTTACTTGTTAGCAGGCCACCAGGTCACCATCCAATGCCACCTACCCTTATTCCATAAGGTACCACATCAGGATCTTCTCTCAAGCTGGACAGGAAAACTTCAGGCACACCACAGTGTTCCAAGAGCAGGCCCTCAATAAGAATCCCTGCCCTTTGGCATGGTGGCTCATGCCTGTAATCCCAGCACTTTGGGAGGCCAGGGAGGATGGATCACTTGAGGCCAGGAGTTCGAGACCAGCTTGGCCAACACCGTGAAATCCCGTGTCTACTAAAAATATAAAAAATTGGCCAGGCGTGGTGTTGCATGCCTGTGGTCCCAGTTACTTGGGAGGCTGAGGCACGAGAATTACTTGAACTCAGGAGGCAGAGGTTGCAGTGAGCCAAAATGGTGCCACTGCATTCTAGCCTAGGTAACAGAGTGAGACCCTGTCTCAAAAAAAAAAAAAAAAAAAAAAGAGAGAGAACAAAAGAAAAAAGAATCCCTGCCCCTGCCCTTTGGGAAGGGGAGGGCTATTTGTGTGCTCTCAGGACCATGTCTCAAACATCAGCATTGGCAGTGAGGAGCTTTCACCCTTCTACAGAGCAGTGAGGGGCTGGAGAGAACAGACACAGCCCAGCCCCTCATCCCTCCCATTCCCGCATCCATGCACAAGTACCACATGAATTTTTAGGAGTTTGGACCACAATCAAGGATAAGAAGAAAGCATCCCTGGCCTTAAAGAGCTTTGAGTCCAGCTAGGGAGACATAGAAGCAAATCCTTTCAATATGGTGTGATAAGTGACAGGGTAACAGTGTAAGCACAGACAAGGGAGAAAACAGGGAAAATGGAAGGATAGTCATGTTTGGGGGGCAACTGGGAAAGATGAATAGGAGAAGCTCCTGAGATGGGCCTCAGAGGATGCACAGAAACTTGCAAAGTGGGAACAGGAGAGCCCAGGAGGGACTGCAGTGTTGGGTAGAGTGTCAAGATCTGGAGTGAGAAAGCTTGGGTTCCTGTCCCAGCTCTGCCACTCACTAGCTGTGTGATCCTGGGCAGGTCACTTTACCTCTGTGAGTCTTAGTTTCTGGACCTGTCAAACAGGAGTTGTCCTGACACCGCCTTTAAAGGTGGTTGGGGACAGTCAGGCTAGACAATACTTTTGAAAGTGGTTTGTAAACTGTAAGCAGAAAGAATGTCAGTTCTTAGTTGCTGGGGATGTCTGTATTTACTACTCCTCTGGGGAAGGGATGAAGATATCCCGAGGGAAGATAGGCCCATGTGCTGAGGTCAAGCTCATGGCCTCTGTCCTGGGAGGGCCTGGCTGGGAACAGGGAGAGTCCTTGTTTCCCTAGGACTGGAATTCATTTCTAGGACACAGAGGGCCCTTTGGCACCCGACTTACCTGCACCTTTGATGGAGGACTTACGAGTGGAGTGCTGTCTAAGATCCGCAGCCTGCTGTACCTGGAAGGCCCTCAGGTCCTCTTCGTCCAGGGCAATGTCCCCAAGAAAGGCAGCTAAAGAGAAAAGAAGAAGCCAGGGCTGAGTTAATCCCCCTTCCCAGCCCTGGGTGCGACGTGCTTCTAGCCCCACCCCTGTGGGCACCAGCCCCCAACCTCCACAGCAACTGTGATCCTCAAATGCCATCTGAACAAGAAGGAGAAGGGCAGTTAGGGATCAGTTTACAGAATTTCTTGGGAAGTTCATGCTTACTTTTCAGTTAAAATCCCAATAAAGCTGATGCTTGGTCCCTACAAGGCTGTTAGCTCATCATTCTTTGGGGAGTGTGGGGCAGATAGGGTCTCACCGCTGTGCCCACCTAATTTTTTAAAATTAGCAGGATCTTGCTATGTTGCCCAGGCTGGTCTCAAAATCCTGGCTTCAAGTGATGCTCCAGCCTCCTCAGCCTCTCCAGTGGCTGGGAATACAGGTGTGAGCCACAGAGCCAACATTCTTCAGCAAATACTTAGTTAACATACTACTGTGGTCGAGACAATACCCTAGTCATTAGCAAGACAGAAGAGGTCCCTGCTCCTGTGGAGCTAACCTTCCATAATATGCAAGTAAATAAATACTGACCTAGGGTCTTCTAGATAGCAATGGGAGCTATGAAGAAAATAAAACAGGGTGTGCTGAGCATGTGGTGTTCACTCAGCAAATGCTGTTTCAGTTTAACCAAGGTTGGGGGGTCTATGAAATAAAATAAGCCAGGTGCAGTGGCTCACACCTGTAATCCCAACACTTTGGGGCGGGTCGAGGTGGGCGGATCATTTAAACTCAGGAGTTCAGGATCAGCCTGGGCAACATGGTGAAACCCTGTGTCTATAAAAAATACAAAAATTAGCCAGGCATGGTGATGTGATGCATGCCTGTAGTTCCAGCTACTCACTCTGGAGGCTAAGGCAGGTGGATCAATTGAGCCTGGGAGGTCAAGGCTGCAGTGAGCTGAGATGATGCCACTGCAATCCAGCCTGGGCAACAGAGTGAGACCCTGTCTCACAAAAAAAAAAAAAAAAAAAAAAGGAAATAAAATTGCACCAATTTTCATTAGAACAGATAAGCATCTTTGGGAAACGAAGATACCTTCCGGGAGCTTCCCAGCTAGGAGAAAAAAGTTTAACAGTTCTCAAGTAATTCCTATTCCAAGTCTTAGGCTGCTCAAGCAGAAAGGCCAGAGGGGAAGAGAGCCTCCCTAAAGGGCCATTCCAATTCCAGTATGTGGAGCTGAGGAGGGATGTTTCCAGAGACCCGGCTGAACTGTCTGTCTCCCTTTTGAGAAGTCTGTAGAAAAGGAAGCAGACGCCATAGAACTGGCCGCTTTGGAAGGCGCTCATATGGGAGCTGCATGCTGAGCTGAGCTGGGCTGGGGGAGGCGGGAGGCTGGGCTAGAGGTGGGACCCACAGCGGCTTCCCTGCAGCTCCACCCACCGCAACATCTGCTTCTCATCCAGGCAGAGCGCTATACAGTCCTGGCGGTCGCATTACACAAATTGTTTTAACCTTGAGGACTTCTACACAGGTTTTTCCTCCCCAGTTGGCCTCACTGATGAACACACACACACACTGACTTCATCACATACAGAATCAGACACCCAAGGTTAGTGTTCCTACGGACACATGGTGGCATCCACACCCTTGCCATCCAGTGCAGAGCCATCAAAGCCAGAGACACACATCCTTGCACGTGAAAGCAGCGCCCAGCACTGCACTTTCAGGCGGGAGACACTCCAGGATGTTCAAATGAATGAATTGCTACGCTGATATTCTTCTGGCTTGCAAATACATGCCGAGAGACACACCCTCACCTAGACAGGATCAACAGAATGTGGGAGTGACTGTGGCAGTCATCGAGGCCAAACTTCCATTTTATAGATGAGAAAACTGAGGTCCCAAAAGCAACAACTTAACTGAACCTACACTGCTAGTCACTGGAAAACTGGATGTATAACTCAGGCCTCCCCATTTCCAGTCCAGCGACCACTGAACTCTCTAGAACCCCTATTGCAAATACATATACACAAAAATAGATATTCAGACAGACACATCCACAACAAAATACACACACAGTCACAGTTTTTAAAAAACATACATGCACAAGCTTCAACACACACAAACCAGATGCAAGCTCTGAACTCATTAAGCCAATAATAGTCGTGATAATGACACCTTATGTAAATGTCTGTTGAAATTTTTGTGGTGCTTTCCAATTGGGAAAGTACTTTCCCATTAATTAATTTAATCCTGGCCTGCCCACAACATGCCCAGTAAGCCACACTCCACACCATGCTCTTGCGGAGGAGTGCCCCATTAGAAACTCTCAGAGAGAGATAACCTAAGTGGCGAGGCTCCAGCCCAGCTCCCTGACTTTAGACATCAGAACACTTGAGCCTATGAAGGGCAATGACTCACTCAAGGTCACCAGCCAGTAAATAAGTGGCCCCAAATCTCTTCCAACCCATGAGAAAGCTACTTCTTACTTAAATCGCCATCCTTGGCAGGTGGCCTTGGCTCAACAACTGATGGGACAGCAACAGAAGATGCTTCCCAGGTGACATGCAAGAGTGGCCTTAGCAAGGACATGAGATGGGAGGTACACTCCAAGGAAGAAGCAGCAGGTTCATACTCGCCATTCACATAGATGTGCATGTGCCACATGAATGCCTCCACACTTAGACTTGTGGATATCTTTCTTTCTCTTTTTATTTCTTTTTTCTTTTCTTTTCTTTTCTTTTTTTTTTTTTGAGATGAAGTCTCACTCTGTTGCCCAGGCTGGAGTGCAGTGGTGCCATCTCAGCTCACTACAACCTCTGCTTCCCAGGTTCAAGCAGTTCTCCTGTCTCAGCCTCGCCCAGTTAACTTTTGTATTTTTTTTTTTTAAGTAGAAACGGGGTTTCACCTTGTTGGTCAGGCTGGTCTTGAACTCCTGACCACAGGTGATCCTCCCGCTTCGGCCTCCCAAAGTGCTGGGATTACAGGTGTGAGCCACCATGCCCGGACACACGTGTTTTACCTTTCACAGACATTGTACCTGCAGGCTCCCACACCCAAACCCACAGGCATCATCCCATACAGGTGTGTCTGGACATTTAGACTCACCTTTGGACACAGAGCAAAGGGCAAGGTCTTTGGAGTCAGACAGACCTGTCTTGGAATCCCAGGTTGGCTACTATTAGCTGACAAGCCATGTAAACTCTTCTAAGGCTCAATGTTCTCCTAGATAACAGAATTTGTCTCCTAGGATTACTACATGAAACAAGACATATACACGAACCCCTTAGCATAGAGCGTGCAGCACGGTAAGCACCGCCCGCTACTTTAATATTATCCCAACACAACCCGTAAGCTCAAAGTCAGCTCTAGACCTCCTCGGGGAATGCTGTCTCACCCACACTCTCTGCCCCCACCCCTCCTTGAGTGAAACCCCAGTGCAGAGGCCACAGAACTGTGCTGGCCTGCGGGTCCAGGGCCAGTGTAGAACCAGGGCAGAGCAAATGTAAGGCAGGGCAGGGCATGGCCCTGGCTGCTGAGCTCCAGGGGTGAGGATGTCATGGCTGAAGAATGCGTGGGAACCGAGTGGGGGTGGGGAGAGAGGAGATGGACAGGAGAGCCTTAGGGGCAGGAGCTGGGCCTTGGGGCACTGTGCTTTTGGGCTCCCCTCTGGAGAAGCAAGGGAATCTGGATGCTAAGGAGTCTAGGAGGTCTCTCCTTACTCAGAGGAAGCCCTGGGGTCACGGTCAGGGTAGTAGTTATTTTCGACACAAGATAAAAATTTTTTGTGTTGTTTTCCGGCTGTAAACCTGCCAGGAGCACCGTGGCTGAGCCCATCTGTGTGCCTGGGCCTGGGAAGAATCTCACTCTTCCAGGTCAACCTCTGGACTCCACTGTCTCCTCGCCCAGGGCAATAGCAAGGCATCCCCTCCTTGGGAAGTGGGGAGAGGAAGCTGGCTGGTGTAATGAGCCCCAAGGCTATATGTGCAAGACTGACGCATGTCCCGTGGTACAAATGCAAGCTTCTAGCTGGGGGATGACACGTACAAACCCCTGCAAACATGTGGATGGACTTCATCACATGTGAACACTTCTGCAGAGGTGCACGTTTGCACCCATGCCTGCATGTACTCAGGAAGACCCATGCCCACACCGGTGAACATGCTTGCCCACAAGGCAGCGACATACCCACGCATGTGCACAAACACACACTCAACCGCTTCCCCATGCAGGATCTTGTGTTTTTACACACACAAATAACTGCAGGCATGCACGGTGTTTCATGGGCCACACTCCCCAAAGGACAAGGGTGCACTTAGAAATAGACAGAGATGCACTTGTGTGCGACAAAGAGAGCGAGGGACGGGAGACAGAGATTAGCTGACTCCCTTGGATCTCCTTAGGAGGTTCTTAGTGGCCTGAGGAGTGGTGCTTCTACTCCCCCCACCCCAAAATCTTCTCCCCAAATCTCTAGAGAAACTAGATTTTTTTTTTTTTTATTTTGACAGAGTCTTGCTTTGTCACCCAGGCGAGAGTACAGTGGCGCAATCACAGCTCACTGCAGTCTCCAGCTCCTGGACTCAGCCTTGAACTCTCAAGCTCAAACTCCTCCCACTTAAGCCTCCCAAGTAGCTGGGACTACGGGCGCATGACACCACCCCCAGCTAAGTTTTTAAGTTTTTTGTAGAGATGGGCGTCTTGCTGTGTTGCCCAGGCTAGTCTTAAACTCCTGGCTTCAAGTGATCCTCCTGCTTTGGCCTCCCAAAGGCATAAGCCACTGCGCCCAGCCTATAATTCTTAAGAATCCCTTCTTCCTGGGAAATCCCTGGGCCCTGCCCCACCCCATCTAGGGCCCAGGGACAGTATAAGTTTTTCCTCCCCACTTGGGGCACTGAAATAAGAAGGTGACTCAGGGGCAGGGGCCTGGGTGGGTGGGGTGACTCAGCTGTCTAGAGGGGGAGTGTGGTCTGGTGACAGGAGAGATTACTTCTAGACCTCAGAGGGTATACCCTAATCCTCTGTGGCTCTCTGATGTCCAAACCTGGGCCAGGCGGCCCCCTGGGTGGGGATGGGGATATGGGCTGGTGAGAGCTGCCACCTCCCACTCCTGCAGACTCTGGGCTACCAGATGAGGTTGAGGTGGCAGCAGGGGCCTCACTGGCCCATTTTAACACTGGCACAGGGTTACTACCGAGCCCTGTGTGCGACGTGCTTCTAGCCCCACCCCTGTGGGGTCAGGCCAATGGGCTTCTCTGATTATGGAATCAACTGTGTCCCAATTCCTGCCTCCAAGGTCTGTCCAGGGGGTTGTTGGCTAGTCACCTGGGGTAGCCAAACAGTGCTGGGAATCTTGCAGAAGGACCCCCTTCATGGTTTGGCTGATTTCCTGACATACAGGAAACCAGGGCTGCCTCAAAATCTTCCTGGGCAAGGGCTAGTGAGGGCTTGGTGGCACCAGCTCTGAGCACACAAACAGACCAGCTTGGCTTCCTGCCCAATGTCCTGTTCTCACCCAGAAGGTCCAGGAACCTCTCCAGGGTATCAAGGATCTTAATTTTGCCCTTAGTACAACGGCAACCATAACTTGACCAGTAATGGCCCAACGAAGGGGCCTGGCTACCCTCAGAGCAACCCAAGGGGTCACAGGTAAGCTGTGGGAGTCAAAGGAGTTTTCACTTCCAGCCCTTGAAAGGAAGCAGGGACAGGCATGCCTGCCATCATCACCTCCAGCAACTGGAGGTCAGGGCTGCAGAGGGTACAGGAAGCAAAGCCAGGCAGGAGAAAGCAACGTGGAGAACAGAGCTGAGGGGCCCGTGGCTGGAAGACAGTGGCACAGGGGTGTGGGTGTGAGTGCCTAGGAATGGCCATGTGAGTGTCTTCCAGAGGTGGGCAGCAGATCTCAAGCATCAGTCATACCCCAGAGGGAGGCCTGATCTGACCCAAGGCCTGGCCTTGTCAGGCCCCAGGGCCCTCTCAGCCGCCCCCAGGCCTGGCCCAGCGCCCCACCAGCCTCACTTCACCCGGTTGGAGTGCTTTCTCCAGAGCCCTTACTTGAAGCTCCAACTCAGCCAGCCCCACCCTAGCATGAAACCTGAGACTGGGGGGAGAGCCCTCAGCCTCTTGCTGCTCTGAAAATCACTCCCATTTCCAACAAGAAGGGAAAGACATCAGAATGGCTTCCCACCCATTCTTTAAGGCCTGGCCCCAATTGCACCTCCTCCACGAAGACCCCCCAGACCTTCCCAGCCTGCTGTGATCACTTTTCTCTGCCACCACCAGGCTGCAGAGGGGTAGGAGACTCCCTGAGCCTTTAGCGTCCTACTCTCCAATGTGGCACTCAGTGTGGCTTGGTTTGTGCCGTTGGTTATATCTGTAGGTGTCTTGGGTCCCTACTGGACTGTAAGCTCCTTGAGGGCAGGGTCCTAGCTTGTACATCTCAGTACCTCCCACAACATCCATTCCAAGCCCTAACACATATTAGGTATTGATGGATTGATGGATAAGAAGCACAAGGAGACAGCAGCAATCCCACACTCCTCAAAAAAAATGAAGTGAGAGTCTGAGGCACAGAAAACAGGGAGGAGGCAGCCCACATTTATTTAGCTCTGACTCTGTGTTAAGCACTATTAAGTGTTTTATGTATGTTCTCATATTTAACCCTTACCACCAACTCTATGGGAAGATGTATAATCAGTCCCATTTTACAGGTGTGAAAGCGGCAGTCCAGACATGATCATTACCATTCTGAGGTAGTACAGCTATAATGAGTGGCGGGGTCAAGATTGAAAGCTAGATGTGCCTGCCTTCAAAGTCCATGGGCAGTCCACTCTGCCCTGTGCCCACTCCCAGCACCCAGCAAGAAAGATGACAGCGAATGTCCTGGTTTACCCGCAGCCCAGCAGGCGTGGAGGGGGAAGGGCTGAGGGATTTGCCCTGATCTTCTCTAATGGATGGTCTCTTATTCCTGCCTGTGGGCCATCCTCCCAAGAGAGTCCCTGAACAGGGTCTCCAGAGCCAGGACTAGAGCAACCTGCCCCTCCGCCCCTTGTGCCTCACACAGGCAGTCCAGTTCTAGGAACTATGCCACTTCCCCTAGCTCTGGCTATTTGGAGATGAGCTGAAGTCAGAGAGGCAGGAAGTGGAGGAAAAGTTCTGTTATCTTGTCCCTGTGTGTCCCCAAACAGCCTGCCCAGGGGCATCCAATCGGGCAAATGGCCCGAGTACCTGGCCATCTGGTCACTCCAGGGGCAGGACCCCTCTGGACCCAGCAGGAGTGAAGGGGTTACATAGGATCTTCAGAGACAAAGAACACACACACACAGGCAAACACACACTCCGGGGTCCTGACCTCGGCTAATTAGCCTCTGGTGTCTGGGGGGTGACAGAACTGATATACAATATCTGGGTTCTCTTTGTATTTTCCCTTTTTCCACCCCAACTTGGCCTTGGCAGGGGTCTCCGGGCACATAGGGACAAAAGTAAGTCCCCCTTCTGAGCTGGCTTCTCTGACTTTGACAGCTGTCTCCTAAGTCCCAGAAAGCTGCAGCTACTGGCTAAACCACGGGATACCCAGAGAGCACGATCTCAGGGAATCCCTGGCAAAACTTTCTTCTTCCACTTGGGCTGGGTGGTGGCCTGGGGGACCTGCTCCTTGGAGACTCAGGCCTCCCAGCTCCAAGCCAGACAGATGTGCAGCCCCAGGGCAGCCCAGACAGGCTGGAAAACACTCAGCTCCTGGAGCAGGAGAGATAGGGGAGAAGGGGAAAGAACGCGCGCGCACACACACACACACACACACACACGCACAGGAGTTTGGCCAGAAAAGTTTCCTACAGAAGGAAAAGCCGCCTTGCCCGCCGGTTTTCCCGGGACCCAAGGAGACTTCCCCTGGAATCCTCTGGGAAGATGAGAGGCAGCGGCAGCAACTTCCACCAACAGCAGCAAAACTTCAGTCCGAAAAGTCCCCCAAACCCCCCTCCCTCTCCCCCTCGTTCTTTTGTTCCCCACTGCATTGCCAACCAGGCAGCTCCCGGCTTCCCACACTGGACTGTCCTCCCCCAACCCCAAACCCGAACCCGCCCGCGCCTCCCCGCCTGGCCCGCCGCCGGGGGGCCGGGGGGCGCTCACCCGCCTTGCAGGGGTCTTTGTAGTTGAGGGGCTCCGAGTCGTCCTCCTCCGCCAGGTCATAGGTGTAGTCGGCCAAGTCCAGCGGCCGGCCGGGACGCGGGAGCAGCAGCAGCCCGAGCAGCAGCGGCAGGCGGGCCACGCCGGGCATGCTGGCGGGGCGGCGGCGAGGGAAGCGGGGCACTGGAGGCCAGGGGAGGGCGTCCCCTCGCCCGCTCGCTCGCTTGATCGCGACCTCGACCGCTCCCGCCCTCGCTCCCCGACCTCTTCCCCTTCCCTCCGCTCGCCTCCCTCCTTCCTGTCTCCCGCCCCCCGCTCGGCCCGCCGCTCCGCGCTCGTCCTCGGGCTCCAGCCGTCTCCCTCTCCCTTCCCTTCTTTTTCTCTCTTTCTTTCTCTCCCTCCCTCCCTCCCTCCGGCTCCCCCCCCCCCCCTTTTTAGGGAAATGAGCTCGCTGGAGGGCGGGTTTTCGCCCGAGCTCGGCCCCCCTCGGGGCCGGGACAGTGCTCGGCCGGGCCGGGCCGCGCGCCAGCCGGGGCGGGGAAGGCGCAGAACCGCGCGCCCTGGGAGGGGGCTCGGGCCGCCCGGGCCGCGGGCCGCGGGCCGCGGGGCCGGGGCGGGAGCTCGGGCCCCCGGGGTGCCGGGAGGGCTGTCGCTCCCGAGGTGCCCTCTAGCGGCGGCCTCCCCCGCGGGCGCCGGGCCGAGCCCCCTCCCCGCCGCGGGACACGCTGTCAGGTCCTCCCGCCGCCCCTGCCCCGCGCCCCCGCCTCGGGTCGGTCTCTCCGCCGGCGTCTCCCTCGCTCGCCTTTTCCGACCCTCTCTCTCTCGCGTCTCGCTCTCTGCACTCTCTGTCTCTCTTGCTGTCTCGGTGTCTCTCCCTCCTCCGGAGACGCCGCTGGAGGGCGCCGAAAGCCCGTGGATGGCTCCCCGCGAGCCCCTCTCCCCCGCCGGCGTGGACCCAGTCCCCCAGCGCACTGGGACAGAGGGAGAATGGCAAACCCCACTCTGCTCTCCCAAGGCACTTCCCTTCCCGGCCGGCCCCTGCCGGGGCAGGACTGTGCCCTACAGAAAGATAGAAGAAGACCCTTTGCGTTTCAATCAGGCTGCTTTATTCTGTTGTGGCAGGAGTTCCCAGGCCCCTGGGCACCACCTCTGCCCGCTCCCATCCTCTCCCCAAACTCCCATTTCTCCAGGGCCTGTCCCTGCGTTGTGGGCAGAAGCAGCTTCTTGCCCGTCTGCAAAAGCTGCAAAAGACCCTTTGCCCAGGGCGTTTCCTGTCCCCCTGGGGCTTCCACTGACCCTGTGAAGCAAAGGCATGTTGAAGATGGACAGAGAGGATCGGGGGAGTGGGAAGTACCGGTCTGCGAGCCTCCCCTCCCCTGAGCTCCCTGGATGACCCTGCTTCAGTGGATGCCCCAGCGCCTGGTCAGCGCGAGTGCTCCTCCACAGCCCGGGCAGGTGGCCCAAGCGCTCCCAGCGACCCTGGGATCACACCTGCTCACTTGAGGAGTCCTAGATGTAGTAGAGCGGCACCTCGCCACACAGGGTGCTCACGGCCATGCCCAGGAAGGCCGGGTCCCCTCTGGAGGGTGCTGAGCCTGCATCTCGCCCCTCCACCTGGTCCAGCTTAGAGGAAGGCACTGCGGGCTTGGCCTGCGGAGAGCATTCCATTTGGAATCTAGGAAATGAGTTTGTATCCCGTGTGCAGCCCTTATTGTGGGACTTCAGGTATATCAGGCAATCTCTCTGAGCCTCAGTTTCCTCACCAGTAAAGAGGGGCTGTGCTAGAGTCAGAAGCCACCAGGTAGTGAGTGGACTGAGCTGAGCCCAGCAGCTTGGCAGTGGGGTGGGAAGGGAAGGAGTCGTGCAGGGGAATAGGGAGAGGGGCAGTCAGCTGGCAGCCAACAAGGAACGGTGCTTTACAGGTGACAAATAGCCACCATTCAGATGCTCCTCCCAGCAGCCCTGGGAGGGAGACAGCCCACTCCTTTCACCCACACACACACCTGGAAGTTCTGGACTTTTCTAGTGAGAGCCTCAAGACCGGGGATGCTCTCTGGAGCTGTCTTCATGATGTAGCACCAGGTGCCAGGGGCTGGCTTGTAGGCGATCAGGAGCTAGGCACAGAATGCTGGAGATGATTTGGGGGTCCCTGCTGTGCTCTCTCCCTGACCCAGGTCCTTAGCCACCTCCCTCTAGGTTGGGCATGGGAGTTATACTAGAATCTGGGGTTCAGGCCAAAAGGGCTGGAGGAGGGGGAGAGATGGATGTGGATGAAGTGGCCCAGCTGGGTGGCTCTAGCAGAGCCTTGTCATTGGTCCCAGGGTCAGGAGGTCTGGGCATACCCACCCGCTGGTAGTCATACACCACGAGGCCAGTGGAGCCGATGGAGAAGGTGGCAGTGGTACCCAGGTGCCCACTCAGGGCCAGGTGTTGCTGGGCTTCCGGAGCCCCGATGCTCATCTCCAGAACCTGGGGAAAGGGCATGGAGCTGCCTGGTTTTCCCCTTTGCTACTCAGCCTGTGGTACCCATCCCCATCCTCAGGCCTCTGTACTCAAATGCGCTTCCCTCTTTCCCGAGAGCTCAGAGAGGCTGAGTGGAACCAGGTGCTGGAGGGAGCCGGCTGTCCTGCTGTGGGGCAGGGGCCCTGTGGAAAAGCCTGGGCTGGATTGCCACCTGGTTTGTGCCTCTTTCCTTCTAGCTGTGCCCCTTACCTCCTCCCCTCCACTCCCCTTGGACAGTTTCCTATCGCCCATCCCACCTAGCCCCTCTGCCTGGCATGTCCTATGCCCACTGCCGCCCCATCCCACACCTCTCACCATCTCCGTGTGTTTCTGGCTCATGTGGAGACCCATGAGCAGGGCTCCCACAATCACCACAACGACAAGGACCACCACCACCACCACGATGAGAAGGCGTTTCAGGTGCACCGGGCAGCAGGGGATGCCAAATCGGCCCCGGGGAGCTGCGGAGTAGTCCTGACACGGTGGGGCAGGCAGGGAGACAGGCATGAGGTCATGAGGCTGCCCCTCTTCTCCCTGCACAAGCTGGACACCCTCCCACGGCCACCTAGGGCTGGACGGTCAATGCGATGGACGGACAGGGAGGGGTTGAGGAGATCAGAGAAGGCTTCTTGGAGGAGGTGGCCTGGATTCTAACAAACCCATAGACACATAGAAGCTTAGAAGCAGGGTCTAGTTTTGAGGGACCCAAGAGAGCCTGCTTCACCTGTCTCTTCCTGCTGTGTCCCCCAGGCCTCTGGCATCTCAGTCATGGTCAGCCCCTCCCTGTTCCCCAAGTGATCACCTCCATGTGGTGACACAAAATCTCCCTCCTTCCTGGAATGCCTTCCACCTTCTCCAACAGGTGAGCTCCTCCTTATTCTGGCTCCAGCTCATGTGTCGTTTACTCTGTGAAGTGTCCCCTGACTTCTGAAGTTTTCCATGGCTTCTGACTCGGAGCTGTCTACGGATGGCCCTTTCAATCGACCCCAGTCATGGCTCTCGGCCCACGAACAACTCCACAAGGGTCCCAGGCTTAGTGGTCTTGGTGTCCCCCTTCCTGACTTACCACAATCCTAGGTTAGTTGAGTGAATGGATCTGGATAAGGAAACAGGCCAGGGAGGATAGAGGAGGCAGGGCCCATCACACACACGCGCACACACACACACACACGCAACCACACTCACCGGCGGGCTCTCCATCAGGACCTCTTTGCTGCCCACATCCATCTTGCTGCAAGTGCTATGCTGTCCTCTCCTGCTCTCCCAGGTGTGACCAGGGTCTTATATGTGTCCATAGGGAGAGAGGACAGAGATAAAGGATCAAGCCCCCTGTGTGCCAGCCAAGCCCTTGGCTTTGAAGCTTGTTTGTTCCTGGCCCTCCAGAACTGAAGCCCAGATAAGCCAGCTGTGAGAGCCCCCAAGTGCCCTTGGCCCTGGCACATGAGTCCTCTTGGCCCCAGCAAGAGCAAAGCTGGGCGAGCTGAGCAAACTTGCCCTTGGGCCATCTGCACCTCTCACCGTGGGTGTCTTCCTGGTGTGGCCGCCTTCCTTGCTGGCACCTGCCCCTGCTGCCCTGTGGCTTTCCTGATTCTTCTGCCAGCCTGAACCTCTCAGGCAGCCAAGGGTCTGACCATCACGTTTCGCAGCAGAATTTCTCGATGCATAGGGATGCACTTCAGGAAGGGGGTTCTGAAGGCAGCACCTGTAGACTCAGAGAGGACTCTGCCTAAAGCAGGAGGTGCTTTGACATCACTTTTGGGGGTTTCATAAATCTACATTTCCCTGCAAGGACCAATTCCAACTTCAAGCACTCTTTCCCTTACCTCGTCTCCTCCCACACATCTAGTACCAGCCTCAAACTTGCCCCCAGTGATTATTTTCCTGATTCTGGAAACTGACCCCACTGGTGGCAAGCTCTTACTGATGTGCAGTGCTTCCTTCTTTGCTCTGGGCTTGTCTGTCAATTGCAGGCTTTGCTGATGGCAGATTCCAGGTCTGACACTGCTTTCTTCTGTCCGGACAGCCCTGCACAGGGCTGGCTCTGGTCACTGGTGGGCTCCCAGTCTCCCCATCCTCAAATCAGCCCACTCACCCTGTGGTCTACACTCTACCCCTCTAGACTCCCCCTTCTACATCCTCTGATCCTAAATTTGCCCTGAGAATGATACTCACCCAAATATGATCAACTTTCAGGACTGTCTTCTTCTCTTTTCTCTCTTTCCTAGTGCCTTCCCTAAAGCCATCTCCATGTATTTACGAGGTCAAATCTGCCAATGACTTTGGGCTGGTTCACCCTTTCTCTCAGGTTCCCTTTCACTCCTTGGGCCAGGTGGTCTCTAAAGTCCCTTCACCTCTAAACTCAGGTGGCTGTGGCAGCGTCCAGGCCTGGGCTTGCTCCCTTAACCGCCTATCTTTTTTTTTTTTTTTTTTTTTTTTATAAAGACAGCCCCTTTTTCCCCCAGGGGAGCATGCAGTAGCGAGATCACTGCTCACTGCAGCCTTGACCTCCTGGACTCCGATGATTCTCACACCTCAGCCTCCCGAGTAGCTGGGACTACCAGAGCATGCCATCATGCCCAGCTAATTTTTGCATGTTTTATAGAGATGGGTTTTTACCATGTTGCCCAGGGTGGTCTTGAACTCCTGGGCTCAAGTGATCTCGGCCTCCTAAAGTGCTAGGATTACAGGTGTGAGCCACCATGCCCAACCAGCCTCCTGTCCTTTAACATGCCACCCCAGTTCCTGCCCCCTGCCCCAGCCCCCTCCCACCAGGGCCCTGCCCTTTGGTCATGAGCTGGCAGGTTCCCCTGTCCCCCCCTCCACCTGGAGGGCCTTCGGCCCCAAGGTTGCATAACAACATGGCGTCTGAACTGAGAGCCCCTGAGAAGCTGAGAAGCGCAGGAAGGAAGAAAGGGAAGGAAGTGTTTGCTCCCACCACCCTCCTCACCCCGGAGCTGCCCCTTTCAATATTTGCCTAAGACTCCAGCAGCTCGAGAGCGTCCTAGGACAGTGAAAGGAGGGGAGGGGTGCCGGGAGGAGGGGGAGCCCAGAGAAGCATCCTCTCAGCTCGGCCTCAGCTGTGTGCAGGTGCCAGATGTAGGAGACAGCTCGCCTGCAGTGCCCACCCCTGCCCTCCCCCAGGGCCCCCACTCCTGCCCCCATTATCCTGGCAACATTGCGATTGATCGGCTGACTCACGCGTACTGGGCCTGAGCCAGGTGGGCAGCCAGCCAGCGGGAGAGCCAAGCACTGCAGGCATCTCGGGGTCCCTGTGGGCATCTCAGGAGGCCGTGTTGTCCTCACGTGGGACTTGTTCTTAGCAGGCACTGTGGGTGGGGCTTGCCACCATCACTGGGTGCTAGGAGAGGGGTCTCTTTCTTTGAAAAAGCCTCTGCTCTTTTGGTCCTTGGTCTCCCTTGCCTGTTGCCCTTAGGCTGTAGCTGTCATAAGCTCTGTGGCTGCTGTTGCTGCTGCTTCTCCTTAAAACTCATTTTTGCTTGAGGGCTGAGGGAGGGTGCCCACCTCCTGGAGCACTCACACTAACCAGGTGAAGGTCCTGAGTTCCTTGGAGAAGGAAACACAGAAGGATCTTTAGCTGGGTGTGCAACCTTCCCCCTCCCCCATACCAGCCCTATCTGCAGCCTTCTCACTTTTTTGCCTTTTCTCCTTATGGGAGAAATGCTTAAGCCATTTCTCCCTCTGTGAAAGCCAACCTCCAATCCCTCTCCACTTCTCCGGTGTTATTTATTTATTTATTTATTTATTTATTTATTTATTTATGTAGAGACAGTGTCTCACTCTGTTACCCAGGCTGGAGTGCAGTGGTGCAATGACAGCTTCATAGCTCACTGCAGCCTTGATCTCCTGGCCTCAAGTGATCCTCCTACCTTGGCCTTCCAAAGTGCTGAGATGACAAGTGTGAACCCTGCATCTGACCTTCTATCTCTCTGAATGCCACCCACCCAAATAGGCCAAGTGCCATTGGCACCTGCTCTGTGACCTCACTCCAGTTCATGGTGCCCTTTGAAATCCTCAGCCTCTCTGTGGCACCTTCACCTGCCATTCAGCACACATGAATGTTCTTGTCAGCTACATGGGTGATTTTTGTTGCTCTGTCTTCCAGCCCAACTGCAGGCCCTGGGAAGGAAAGGAGCACTCTTCCCATAGGCTTCTTTGAACCTGCCACTGGGCAGGAGGCATGCAAACAGCCAACACTTAATGATAGTCAATGATGAGACCAATACCAACAGTGGTCAACAGTCCATGCCTTCTGTATGTGGAGGTCTCAGTGCTTCCACTGGCCAGCTCTGGGACCCAGCGTGAGTCATTCTGCTTTGCTAGGCATTAGTATGTTCATCTGTGAGATGGGTCAGGTACTAGCTGTCCACCTCACTATGCTATTATAAGGACCGAATGGCATCATGGGTGTGACATCCAGTCGTCATCATTAGCATCATCTACTTCATCCTCTAGGGGACCTCCCACTAGCTAAGAATACAGCCCAGACTCACCCTCATTGTCTGTTTCTGGGTTGACCCCCTCTGAGAGCCCTGGGCGATGGACAGCCCCACAGTGGCCACCCCTTCTGTGTGGGCCTCCCCGTTTCCTCCTCCAGCCTCTCAGCTGCAGGGGTGGGGACAAGATTCACTTTGCTCTTTGTGTACTGGGCAGAGCCGTGCCAGGGACGGGTGGGGACAGTTGCCCAGCTGCCCCAGCCCCCTCCCTACCCCCACTGCTTCCCTGCCCCCAAGTTGGCATGGGGAGGGCAGCTAAATGTGTGGCAGCAAGTAGACATCAAAGGGCAGGGGCATCCCTGGCTGGGAGAACACGACTTAAGCTCAGACCAGAGAATCCCCTGCTGGCAGAGTCTGGGGACAGCTGGGGAAGCGTCTTAAAGCCAGTGGTCTCGGTCCCTGGACTGGTGTGGAAAGAGCACAAGACTAGAAGCCCAGGCAGCTTCTTGCCAGGCTCCCCTTGCCCCGTGCCTATGAGCTCTTAGGACAGTCATCCTCCGCCACGGGGGAGCTAACATGGTATAGAGCAGTAGTCTTCAAGCTTTTTGGTTTCAGGACCCCTTAACACTCTCAAAAAGTACTGAAGACCCCAAGAGCTTTTGTTTATGGGGGATATGTCTGTTGACATTTATTGAGAAATTACATTTTTATTTACATATGAATTTAAAATATCAGTAATAAACCCATTATATGTTATTATATAAATCACATTTTTAATGGAAAAACTATTTTACAAAGCAAAAATAAAATTAGAAAGTGTCACTCCTTTACAGTTTTAGAAATCTTTTAAATTTGGAACTTCATAGAAGTGAAAAGGGCAAATCATGTCTTAACAATATTAGGAAAATTGTTTTTACCTCAGAGGCAGAGGAGGCCCAGGGCTACACTTGGAAGAACCCTGCATGGAAGGACAACCGTGAACGTTGAAGTTGGGCACAGTGGGCGGAAATCCCTGCTGATACATTTTTCTTCTGGTGCGACAGGCCTCACTTTTCTTGTCTGTAAAAGGGAATTACTATCACCTGCCTCAAACTATTGAGAGGATTAAGTAGGGAAAGTACAGAACACTTGAGATAGCAAACTTAGCTAGCCTCTTTTTGGGGGGCCTCAGTTTCCTCATTTGTTAGACAAAGGGCTGGACTGAAAAATATCTAAAGCGCTTCCCAGCTTCAACAGGCTGTGGTTGAGCAGTGAGAAATGTTCCAGAATTCCACACAGTCCCACTCCAGCTCCAGAGGCTGTGTTTCCCTTTTCAGCTCATGCTGACACAAAGGTACATTCTGTTCAGTGGCGCGTGGAAAAACATGTGAATTCAGTTAGAAGCGCACTTCAGACTCCTCCAGGACGCCCTTGTGCTTCTAATCTTGCATGCTAACTTAGATATGCGTCTGCCACTCACGACATGCCCATGATGCTGCCTAGGGGATGTGTCCCCCCCATGCAAAGAAATCCAGGTACACAGAAGCACAGAGATCCCTAACGCCGAAGCGCCTCCACAAGGCAGTGTGTGCATGTGCCCGTGCAGAGACAGGTGAGCACCGGCGCGCACGGTCGTGCCCAGCACACGAAGGCACAAGTACAAGCTCACACGCATGCACTCACGCGCAGCCACACACGCGGATGGCCCCAGAGACAGCCCGGGAGAGCACACAGCGGCCACTCCTCCCCTTCGGTGACTCCCAGACTCGGGCCTCCCACCGCCGCCCCGCGCGCGCCCCCGCCGCCCGCGCCGCAGTCCGCATCCACCCCGCGCGGTCAGCCCCGGCTGCGGCTCCAGCTCCGCGCTCCGCGCTTCTCTCCCGAGCCGGATCGCGGGAGCGAGCAGGGGAGGGGACCGCAGCCGGCGCCCGAGGGCAAGAAGAGTCCGCAGGTGGGCCCCTGGCTGCGGCAGCAGCTGCCGGTGGCCGGGAGGTGCCAGCCCGCGCGGGGTGGCCCAGCCGCGGGAGCGGTGGGGCGGGTCCGCGGCTGCCGGCCCCAGGGAGAGCTCGCGGGCAGCATGGCGGGGCTGCGGGCCGGGCGGGGCGCGGCGCCGGGGCTGCTGGCGCTCTCCGCGCTCGGCTTCTGCCTCATGCTGCAAGTCAGCGCTAAGAGGCCCCCCAAGACGCCCCCCTGCCCGCCCAGCTGCTCCTGCACCAGGGACACCGCCTTCTGCGTGGATTCAAAGGCAGTGCCCAGGAACCTGCCCTCGGAGGTCATCTCCCTGTGAGTGTCCAGCCCCGGCCTTGGGGGTGGGGAGGGAGAGGAGGCCGAGGACAGCTCTGGGAGAGGACAGGAGAACCCTCGCTCCCCCTCTTCAGAGTGTGGGGACCAGGGGGACTGCAGGGGTCCTCAGGGCTGGAGAGTCCAGGCACCAGTCGGGCAGGGAGTTCTGCAGTTTTGCAGCCTCAGCGGCCATGGGTGGGGAAAGCAGGAGTTCACCACCAAGAATGAATCATCACCACCAGGAGCGTCAGTGAGACCTACTGTGTGCTGGGCTCCAGACTTGGGGGGGGGGTTGCTTACACGAGCATGTGGACTCCTGCCTGTGATGTCACACCAAGGGCAGGAGAGTGGCAGCCAGGGCAGGTGGGAATGAGCTCTGACCTCCCAGCACCCTGGCATGGGGCACACGCCTGCCACTGACCAGCCACTTGGCACCCAGCCCAGCCAGCCTGTCACTTGCAACAGCCAGCCTCAGGGGCTCCCCTTGTCTGTGGGACCAGAGAGGTTGTGAAGTCCTTAGGGACCAGGATGCCAGCCCCCACCCCCATGCCCCATCTCTCAACAGCACCCAGCCCATTGTGGGTGTTTGGATGATGATGATAACGGTGTGGGTGATGGAACCTTTTCTTGCCTGAGAGGGAAGCTGAGCGTGGGGCCATGGGTGCCTCAAGAGGCAAT